TGTGTTTTCTGTTTGGATTCAATAATGTTTTCACAATATGAATTATATACATTTATATAGATTGATTTTAACTATGGTGTCAGTTTAATCTTATGTGGGAAGTAAAGACATCTATCATGTTTGTATTGATTAGTATGATAGAATTGGCAAATAAGAAAAGATACGGTGTCACAAATTAATTACTACTATTCCGGCTAGCTTTTCCAGTTAACTTTCCTCAAACTTCCTTGAAAATTGGGGCCAATTGGCATAGCATGTATGGTTTAGAACTGTCCTAAGTATGTGGAGATGGAATATTGACGGCCCCATGCATGATGATGATCAGCTAGCCATCAACTGAAGAAGAAAGAGAAAAAAAACTCTGAAAGCTTCAAAGGCTTCACAGGATATCTGGATGACTTATGGGATCTGAATCACATATAGTTCTTCTTGGCAGTTGAGTAAAGTCAAGAGAAAGGGAGAGATTTTGATTAGTAAAATTGGGGGAACTCAATTATTGAGAATACTTTTAGCTCCACTGAGGGAGTTTGCTTTGCAGAGTCTTTTCATGTAATGTTACACCTACTTTTTGAAGTGGAAAAAAAAAAAAAAAACCTGCACTCCCATTAGGCTTTTCTTCCTTGTTGAATTTGTAGGCCATTATGCGTACACCGGTGTTTACTTGTAAATGTAACAGCAAAATCATTTTGGATGATATATAGTCTTCAACTTTAGAGTTACGACTCACCTGGGACTTCATTTTCATACATATATGATTCTAATCCTCAACTTTTAGTTATCCGTCTGAGTATACAAGAAGAAAAAAGATCAATCATCAATTATTCCAGAGTTACAACTAGTTTTACAGAAAAGAATATTGTGATTCGATGACTTGAATCATTAGCTGACGAACTGCTCATTAGTATACGAGATACGTCTTTATCTCTAGTTTAGATCATAAAAATCATCATTGCATCATTTGCATATATGCATGTTATAGTCCAAGAAGATCTCACGTGTGTATATATATATAAGAATTTTGAGGGTTTTGCTTCTTAAAATCTATCAATCATAGATGAACTGATCCAATTCACGTGTGTTGCGGGGGGTGTTAACTTGATTGAGAGGATTTTTGTCTCTTTTCTTCGAGAGCTAAACAAAAAGTAAAACTGTTTTAAAATTAGAGATCGAAGCGAAACATACCTCAAAGTGAAGGGATCGTATGAGTAATTTATCTTAGTTGTAAGTTGAAGATACACGCATACAATTTCTAGATGCATCCTAATAGTACACGCCGTGCCGTATAGTATGTCAAATTAATCTTTATCTTTAATACCAAAGATGATAGTAGTAGTTCAATTACAAATGATTTTTCAACACGAAATATGTGTTTCATTTTGCTGATTGTTTCCTTACCTTTGATGTCGAAGAACAAAAATCCTCTAAACTTGCGTTCGATAAGTAGATAATTAAATTCGAAATCATGATTTGGTTGGTTCAAAATGTTTGTATATAGGTCGAGTTCTTGACTACCTAAATACATGCAAACAATTAAATTACTCCGGCATGTAATTAGAAGTTCTTGACTACCTAAATACATGCAAACGATTAAATTACTCCGACATGTAATTAGAAGTTTAAGTAAGCCGGAGATATTGGCTGGTTACTGAGCTGATCAGAATTGCAGCGAGTAATGAAAATAAATATACAAAACGCCATGGATTAAAAACGTGAAAGCTGCTTTCAGAATTTTATTAGTAGGGGGTGGACCACATTTTTCATTAGTTTGGGTAAAGTTAAGCTTTGACAAATTGATGAATTAACATAAGTGTTAAAACTTTAGGAAAAGCGCTCTACTTTTAGCATGCCAACTTCCCCACCTTGCTTCTGCAGCCTTCCACGATTCATGGTTTTAAAATTACAATACAACAGTGCATGTAATAATTCAATGATTGGGGTGCCCAACATTGCATATATGGGTTTTCTCCGGTTTTTAAAACACTTTTATAGTTGGACTAAACCCAAAAAAAAAAAAAAGAGGTTATACTTACCCAGCTATTAGAGCGTACGTATGGTAATATCAGACCTACTGTCCTATTTAACTAAGAAATACCTCATTTTGTGTGTAATAACTTATAATTAATAATAATACGTTTTGCATTCCCGAAAAAAATAGTTACGTTTACTCTTGTTATCTAGAAATGATTATTCAGTTTGCATTTTTAATTTTAATATAATTTATATCAAAAGCGAAAAAAAAAACTGGACAATCAGTTTAGTACATAGTGGATATGATATTTGATGAGTTACAAATAATTGAACAAATAAAATTTTAATTTTGGCATGGAGGGAGGGAAGAGATGAAAATGACGTCAAATTATTTATCCGAAAAACTCGGTGAAATCTTGAGTGATTAATGAGCTCTTGTCTCTCTCCTGGCTTAGTTCGTACGCCAAAGATGAATTATTGACCTCTTGATTATGATTTTTTTAACACCAAATTCTTCCTATATGGGACCAAAATGTCGGGAAATAATCTTCATCAAATCATCAATCATTGATGAACCAAATAAAATGTTTTAAGTTTTGTGACGATGATGATCGATATTTTACTTTCGCATATTTCTTGGAGATTATTATTGTTTGTTACTGTTTTGGTACAGTATAATGTTCTGTAATGTTAACAAATATCCGAGTTCCTATTGGGCAGCCCCTACCGGGCAATGGAATGACTCATTTTGGTGCCCTTTCCTATCCAATTATTTGGATAGAAAAGAAGGGAAAACAAATAACAACCTTTTTCCAAGGATAATGTCGAGGTCTTGCATTAACCATTGCGGAATAAAATGTAAATAAAATGCATATTTTCTCCGTCTATAATTTATTATTCAGTTATTGCATTAAAATAGTAGTATGGATTTAATCATTTTAAAACGGATTGGGATAATATTATTCGTTAGCAAAATATTTCAAAAGCCTCCAACTATATTTAACTTTTAACCAAAGCTTAACACTATATTATCAAGATCGATCGAGATGTGTTTTAATTTAATTTTTTTGTAGGCGATGTCGCCGTTAGAATGGCTTTGCATGCATGACTTAACGTTAAGGTTTATTTTTCCAAAAAAAAAAAAAACAAAACAAAAACAAAAACGTTGAGGTGTAGTAACGATGAGTTGAAAAGGTGACAAGTGTTTTCCATTTCTCATAGTTATAAATATGATAATCCCTCAAAAAGTTTAGCCTAACATTTTGATATAATGCACCCCCCAAAAAAAGTTTTAGGCTTTCAATTTTGCCACTCAACCATAGATAACATATTTCATGTTTTGAGAAGATAAGTCACAATGAACTTCTTCTAGCTATGAGTTAAATCGACAGTCAAAAAGGTCTTTCTTAGCCGTAGGTTTTGCCCGCAAGAAATCTCCAATTCATGCTCTTGATCTGTCCCTCTTTTCCTCGACCTCAACTGATAATGACTTTGTTAATTAGATACTTAATGGTTAAACTTTTATCAAACAGCAGATTTAATCTATTCAATTTTTAAGGTACAAATGATGCTGCCCCAAGAAAAAGGAAAAAAAAATAAATAAATAAAGATTATGGGCAGGAAGGCTTCGTACGTGTTCGCAACCCTTTAGCCAATTTGAATCTTCATTATACATAATTAATGTACATTAATCGTACGGTTTGGTATGTATTTGGATAAGATAGCGTTGCAAGATACGTTTTAGATGTAATCTGTATCACTTTATTAGATATAGAAAATGATTCGGGAAGTCTGGAGTTGTGTAATTTAGTCCCTTAAGCACACTGTAAAGTAACACATCCAGACAACACCATACAGATTACAAAGGATTCGCAGTTAGCATTTGGGAAATAACTTTGGCGAAATTGTACTCCCTTTGTGTATACCAAAATAGATTATTACAAAAAACATAGATTACTAAAATGGGAGGAATGAAGTATAAGGGGAAAAAAAACACTTTTAACACCCATTATATAAAATGAAGGAAGCATACACTTCACCGTTACAATGCTAAATTATGTGAATAAGGAATATGCTACCCTAATAATATCATAATGAATTCAAGGATGCACATATTGTCTCTGTAGTATATACAAGAAATTAAAGATCGAGAATTAAATTTAATTAGCAAACAATTATGGAGTTTAATTTTGAGTACAAATATCAAAATTTAATGTGGAATATATTGTAAAACGGATGAACACAGGAGGGGAGTAGGTTCTTAACTAGCTAAATGAGCCATCTGTTACCTCTATCCTGAGAGAAATAGCTAAATGAAATTGGGGTTTTCAGCTAAATGTCATTTGTGAATGAATAATTTATTTCCGAAGCATGATGAGGTTAACTTTTCCATGTGAGTCTATATGCTTTAGACACTTTATACCTGTAAAATCGTATATACTCCTCAAGTAGGGGTTAAGTAAGATTGGCACCAATTACAGTTCATTTGCATATTCTGAAATCTCTTAAATATATATGAATGGTTTTGTGTTTACTAAAAGCCGAAAGGAGGAGGCTTCCAAGTCGATTTCCCAAGCCTAAAAAGAAGAGAAGTTGCTTTCTTAAAAACATTATACTAAAGGGCTCCAATAAAGCCACATCCCATTACTTAGCCCTCAGGGTCAGGGACAACATATACATTACCTTCTATTAGAGAAAGTAGACAGCTGCTAAGGGGACCTCAGGCAAACTTTGACATATTCAAAAATAATTACCCTACTTCTGGTTTTCTTTTTTCTTTTCTTATTCTTTTCTTTTTCTTTTTTCTTTTTTTGGAAAAAAAATGTTATATATGGTCAAAACGTTCGAAATTGTATTTAGGATTCTCTTTTCACAAGATCTTATTAAAAGGCTCTCAGCAATAATTTCGTGATTATATATGATCGATCCATGAATATTGTGACAATATTGTAAGGGTAAAGGTTTTGAATTCCAACCTAATTTGATGGGAAAGAAATGTACCAAACAAAAATGATTGTTGAAAAAGAAAAGAGTACACAATCAATAAAAGAATTAGAATTGAGATTTTGAAAAATCTCATGGAATCTTCATGCGTTATAAACATAAGACAGAAACTGTATGGATCTAACATTTGACGGCAACATGTGCACGTTCATCTACATTGATGATCAACTTTATTTTTTTGTTTTCTTTTTTCCCCCACTTTGATTTGATGAGTTTCTAACAACTCAATTCCTAATTTTGAGTATATGAAAAACTTCAAAGTACAACACCATCCCATATTTGATATCCTAAAATTACTAATATATAGTTTGTATTAATAGCTTGTACATGATGGACACACCCCTCTACAAACACTCTAGAACCTTCAGCTCTCATGTATGAGATATATAATCATCATCTTTTACACTTGTGAAAAAAGCACCAAACATATTCCAAAATTATCTGATGCACCCCAGAAGTTTTCGGTAGTTATTCTTTGGCCCATACCAAATTGTGCAGCTACAACACCTGATGCACGGAGTACCATTGAGGCATTGATTTTCCTTTAAATAATAATTTTCACGAATGCCCCCCGAATTTAAGAAGCGAATCCATTTTGCCGCCTCAAATCCCTGTAAAACCTAGAAATGAACTCCTCGGCGGCTTCATCCACGTGGTTGTCTTCCTCCACCTCCTTCAACGGAAACGGCGAGTCGGTTATCCTCAGCTGCCGGACCATCGGGCTCTTCCCGAACCCCGGCAGCGCCGGCGAAACATTGCCACTGTTCAACAACTCCAATGCCTTGAAAACGGCTTGGACCGCCACGTCATTGTCGTCATGGCCATGAGCCGGCGTTTGGTTGCAGGAGAAGAAGTCGGAGAAGCTGCCGGAATACTGGTGGCGGTGGTTATTTTTGTTTTTCTTGTTGTTGAGGTGGAAGGGGAGGTGGAAGCTGGGATAAGCCGGGCTGTTACTGCAGCTGAACTCGTAGTATTCGACGGAGTTCGGGTTGGCGAGGGATTGGAGATTGTGGTTTTTCTTGTCCTGTGACCGGCGGTGGTGGTGGTGGGCGGCGGCGGCTAGAGAAGAAGCCCAGTTGTGGCTGTGGTGGAACATGAGATTCTGAATGGCTTTTCCGGCAATCTTCCCGCGCTTCATCAGCATGTTGAGATCGATCATTAATTTTCCTTTGGAGATTCCTTTCCTCAACATGAAGAGTAGTACTTTCACCAAGTGCCAGAATTTCTTGGCTATCACTGGCATGTTATTGTTTTGTTGGTCCATTTCTTCTAATTTACTGTTTATGGCAGGATTTTTTTTGTTTTTTTTGGTTTGCTTTGTTGGATGAAGAGGAGGATATTGTGAGAACTTGAGAGAGAGAGAGAGATTTTAAGGAAGATTTGATGTTTTGATTGGCATGGAGGAAATAATGGGAGGTTAGCTTGGTATTTATACTGGAAAAGGCCTAAGTGGGGAAAACAAAAAAAGGACCCCCCCATGCAGCAGTTGTTTAACTTTAACGTTATAAAACCTAAAGTGAGTGACTTGTTGGTACACGGAAATTTCGGTTTACTATAACATTGGGTTTTCTTTTTGGTTTTGGTTCTTTGTTTAAGCTCATTCTTTTCTCCCTTTTTTTAGTTCATAGTTTAATTAATTCAATTACTTAATGGTGTGACATGCATGTTGGCCTTGGTGGAGTTAATAGTAAAGGTTTAAATTTTTAATCATAATTAATTAGGACTTGGTCGTGATTTAGTGAACTAATTTATACTTGTGTTTTCACCTTACTGAGTTAAACTGTGGTTACAACATGATATAACAGGGCACATTTAATTTAAATAATATGTATGTTGAGTTTTTCTCCTTTCTTTGTAACACCCAAAAAAAAAAAAAAGTATATTATACGTACTCCAGAATGAATTGTAATTTGTATGCCCTTATAAAATTAGTGTCTTGCGAAAGGAGTACTTGAATACGTGGAACTACGATAATCAAGTAGACTAATTAAGAACAATCATCTCAAGTATTCGTATCACAGAGATCAGTTCTCAGCCATAAGTTTGATTAAGAAATCATTGTTAACTCGAGGATTGATGTATAATTAATGATGACATGGAATGGAACTAGTTCCTACATGTCAATGATTCAGTGAGTTGTACGTTAAATCATACTAGACGGGGAGACAATAACAAGACTTGTTCAAACTTCAAACTTATCTATGTAATTAAAATTTGAAAATGACCTAACAAATTAAAGAGAGAAACACAAAATAGATTGATGTCCATCAATTAAATAGTTCCCATGAAGACAGATAAGCGTTTAATCGCTCTTGACGACTGATAAGCTCTAATCATAATATTGTTGGTGATGTGTCTAGGCACGAGCATCTTCTTAATCACGCACACCCAAAAAAAAAAAAAAATGAAAATCTAGCTAGTTCTCAATTAGCCAAATTTCTGATGCATCCTAATTAAAGTTTAGTACTGTAACAAAGATAAATTAAAAAAATGATGATTTTTTCCCTCTCATTTTGCAGATTGAATTAATACATTCATTTATCCTTATCATATTATATCATACTTAAATGAATTTAAGCTGGTGTTTAGAATAACCTCTCATCAAACGTCATTGTTTTATCAATCATTTTTACATTTTATTATGAATCATACCACTCCAACAAAATGATGGTCTAGAAAGTTCTGGCTATATAATTAACTGGTACATTGTCTGGTTAAACGGATCAAATCATGCATCTTAAGCGTTAATCAAACATGTTTCTATCGATTATCATATCTCTCCCGTGATATTTGTGTTTTTGTTGTATTACCGCAAACTTTTTGCTTGATTTTGATGTAAAGAATTAAATACAATTAACTAGGGTCCAAGTGTTAAGAGAACTAAAAAGCATACCAATATTTAAATAAAATTAATTCTTCTTTCGACAAAGATATTTGCCTTGACTTTCACACACCTGTCCTTCCAAAAGACCAAAACCAATAAAAGAAAATAAAATTCAGTTTGATAGCCGCTATAATGGCTGGCTATGGGGAAGTAAACTAGAAAACTTTAAGTAAGCTGGAGTAGAAAGTTTACTTAGCAGGGGAGGTTTTCTTCCCCTCACATGGACACGTGTCCAGTATTTGTTGCGTACAATTCAATCACTCAATGGGGTTGAAGAGGGAAAAAACCAAAAAAAAAAAACTTGCATGTCCACAACAATACAAGGAAATCAAACCAAAAAATGTGGGCGCCTTTGGTGGTAAAAATTGACCTAGCCACCTCCCTCTTTTTGTTTATAAACTTCGAAAAGTAGCCATCAATTATTTTTGATTTGGTCACATTTGAATTTTGATGATCAAATATTTTAGTAAATCAATGTGTTGTATACTCCCCGACGTCCGTCCCTAAGAACTAAGAAGAGAGAGAGCCATATTCATTCTGCTTTGATATAAAATCGAGATCATAATCATCCTCACGAAACAATATTTAAAAAAAAAGAAAAAAATCCTCTCCTAATGTCACATTTATGTTTCTCAATTTGCTACATTATAAAAACTTTCCTCGCAATGTTGTAAATCAACTAGTAGCTAGACTATGTATATGAGTATGAACAATGTGGTATATGTTTCAATTTGATGCTTGATTTCTTAATCTCTTGGTAACGTATGGTGTTTGGTGTTTCTGTGATAATGTAAATGAAAAAGAGAGTAAACGAAGTAAGTTATATATATATAGTGAAATAACAATGAAATAAAATGATTAACAAAGTAAGCGCCTTTACCCTAAAAGGAAGTAACCTAGATGATGAACTAATTGTAACATAACCAAGCGCATTTGTAACAAAGTAAACGTGAATTGATCTAAAATGAACACAGAGATCAGGGTTTTGGCCCATTCAAATCGTGAACACAAATATCACGAGTACTACTAATTTGCAAAATTTTGTGAAGTATTAGAAGGCGCATTAGCTATGTTGTTGAGAGTTTTTTTTTTTTTTTCTTAAACTTAAAATTTCAATTGGATTTAATTGTTAGACTTCTTTCTGTCAATTCGCTTTGTAGCCTTAATAATGATTTGGTTCATAACGGGCTCGAGGCACAAGAAAGGGACAAAGAATAATTAGTCACATGACAAGTAATCTATGATTATAGTTTCCCCAACGGAATTAGTCAAACCACAGCGCCATGGGGGAGTTGAGTGGTGGTCGGTACTTCTTTACCTTAGGCCTTAAGGATTTTTTTTTCTTTTTTTTTGCATTTTGGTCTTTGGAGGGATCCTTTGTGTAAATCGCGCGTGTTGGAATTGTTTTTGAATTACTTCGGTAGCTCCCCCGAACTTATCGTTATTACGTACAGGACTCTATTTGTTTCCACAATTATACAAAAATACGTCAGATCCAGTCCCAGAAAGTTTTTATGTTATGCACTTAATTAGAGATAATTACACATCACCCTTAGCATTCCCTAGTAAAGAAATAACTCTACATCAATATTACCTGTGTACATAAAATCAATCCATACTAATTTCAATTTCGGTATTGTGCGTGTTGATCGTAATCATCCACGAATGTCCACTGTAATTTAGTCAGAATCTAACTTGTTCTTGTGCTGGTGACTTTGTGAGACGAATATTGAACAATATATATAGAGAGGTGTAGATATAGATATATTTACAATAATCACATATAAGAAGTGAGTGTATCATAACTAGAAGATGATTCATATATAAGGAAAAGGTTGAGACGAGACTTACTTCCTCTGTCTCAAAATGGTTCATATTTACATTCCAACAAAAATTATACTAGAAAAAATGAAAGTTTAATTGAACAATCATCTCAAAAAGGAGATATTATATATTTATTTGATGAACACATAATGAGAGTTTATCGACTAAAACTTGACAAACTATTTGATCGATCATAATGGAAAATTATTCCCATCGTAGAACGATATTTACGTAATTGATATATATATATATATATATATATTTTCCATTATGGAGAAATATTGAAGAAACCAGATAATTACTGGTACAAACCTAAACTGATTTCCTTTTGAGTTTGTGCTTCAATTTTGAGTGCTCGGTCGATGTTTCATGTTGTAAGTGAGAAAATAACTTTTCATATTATAAACGTGCACATTCAACCCATTTTACTACGCGTCCGATTTCAGCTCACAGTTAAACCTTTCTGATGAAACACTCAAATATGGTTGATGACAAACTTCACAAATTAATTATGAAGGTAAATCATTTTCTCAAATCTCATAGAAATTCAGTTCTTCTTTTTCTCCCGTTGTCCCAATTTCATAAATTTTTCGGTAAAACAAATAAGAGATTATAACATGAAACACTAAAGTAACACTTCAGGATAATGTATGTAACCTCAACACCATCATGCATGTTATATCTACGAAATAACCCCGACGATAGATGATATATATCCAAATTAAAGTCGTTATTGTAATTATCTTACCCTTCGCTATGAATGATTTGGTACATTTTGACCAAATATATCATTAACAAATTATTAATGTGCAGGAACCATAAACCATGCGTACAGCCTTACACCCTTAATTAGTGTACACCATCTAACAATGCTAATTAAAGTAGGGACTGATTAAGGACAAGAATTCGCACCCGGTTTCGTCCTCGCGACAAACAAAGCTGTTCACAACTATTAAGCAACAAAATAAAACACAATTAAAGTCTCTCTCAAAACCCTTTTTTCTAATTTATTAAATAAACTTTCCTTTAGCTTTTTTTGTTGTTTTGGAAGGAGGAAAAATGCATGCATGCTCACCAAATCAAGGCGTCTTCCAAGTAGAGTTGTATGCGATCATTTGACTGACTTTCCTTTTCAATTTTCTATATTTGCACTGCTCCAATTTCTTCTTTCTATTTGCTTTTAATTGTGCTCTTTCTTTTTTTCTTTTTTATTTTTTTCTCTCTTTCAGGATCTCATGTGAATCGCTTTTCTTCTGCTTTCGAAATTCACCAAACTTGAGCTACTCTTTTTGGCCATCTTGAATTGGTTGGCATTTGAAAATTTCCAAAAGATTGTTTTAACTTATTTTAGTTGTTTTGTACACGAGTTTCCACTATGTTTGTAATTTATTGGACACGCCCCCCCCTTTTTTGCCATATAGCTTTGAGCACACGTACGGTTGAAATTAATCAGCTAGCCAAAAATTAATCGTTTGTTAATTTGCCTCTCATTTGTCATTTGATTGCGTATGTGTTACTCTGCACTCTAGAAGGCAATTTGAGGGAGTTAAATTATGTCTTAATCATGACATTATAAGGGTCAAATATCACAAAATATTTTTATTTTGTTTTTTTATAAAAAAAAAAAAAACTCCGACTCAATGGACTAATGTGCAAAAAATTCACCCCTTATAATCTCTTTTCTTTAGCGGAAATTAAATTTGGGTCTCTCATAACGTATGATATCTTAACCACTAGATTGTTATTCATTTTTCGAATATTTTCATTTTGTTTGCCTCCTTTGTATCAAATAAAAAGAAACTCTAATTCACCCCCTGCAGTTATTGAAATCCGATTACAGCTCATTTTTGTTTCTGTGTACACATTTCAAAAGATGTATAACAGCTAATAATTAGAATTTTGACTATGAATTGTCGGCTGACCGGTCTATTCTGCTTCTTTTTTCATAATCATGAATATATTAATAGTATTAAGTAGTGTTTAAGCAAAAGCGTCACGTTTTGAACAATTTGGACTTCATCATATAGATCTTCCACTATTCCCCTCCGGTGGCTTTATTAGCTGTATACCTGTACTTATGTTTTTTTGTTGTTTATTCAATAGATTTTTATAAGGGGTTAGAGTGCGCTTTTGTGCTTTTGCTTTGGTGTTCTTTTTATTATTATTATTTTGTCACCAAAAGGCCATCATAAGAAGTGTGATATTTGAATAATATTAAGAGCAGCTTTAAGCACTAATTGCAATTACGTATTATATTATAATTAACTAATAGACTCTCCAAAAGCTTGCAACATTGGAAGGGACACAAATTTAAATATATATGTATAGTTCAACTTTCCGTATTTTATTTCTTACCAAAGTACATTTATTCCCCTGCGGATTGCTCCTCCCTTTTCGCTTATTATTTTCTTGGAGCAAAAGGGGAAGATGATAATGCATAATAAAATGCCACAAGACCTAATAATTATACTATCAAGTGCTAATAATATTAGGTAGTCTGTTTTATAATTTTTTTTTAAAAAAAAAAGTAGCCAGGTTTCTAAATCGTATACTTTGTTTATGCCAGTGTAATTGTATACTTTGTTTTAATTTTTTGAATTATTATAAAATAAATTATTAAGGAAAAAAATTTAGTGCATGTGGTATGTTTAACTTTGTAGTACACTAATAAGTACTACGGAATGTACCCAATTAATTAACGTTATAAAAGGAGTTTAAAACTATTATAAATGTTAAAGTAGCCGCCTGATTGATGGATTTTAACAATGGTTAGAATTTGGGCCGACTCAAAAGATTGTGCTAGTATATTGGGCTTTACTACAACTTTCTTTTTATACCTTCACTTGGACGCTCCTTTTTTATGCCAGCTGATTAAACGACTTTATAAGTATTAAAATTGAACTTAATCACATCTAAAATTGGAGCGGATGATGATCAGTGGCGGAGCCAGAATTTCAGAATAGGGAGTGCGAAATCAATTGGCTGAAAACTAAAATAATATTAAATTTTAAAATTAGTGTTTTGCAAGTAGAAGTTATAACATTATTATGTGGTTCAATATTTTCTCCTAAGATGTATTGGCAATTTTATCCAAAAAAAAAAAAATTGTTAATTTGACAAGTTTTTTTTTTTAAAAAAAAAAAGAAAATAAGAACCTCGTTCCTTCTATTACACTAAAATCACAACCAGAGAAAGATTTGTATAATTATTTTGAATTGATACCAATATGTGTTGTTTTCTATCCTCACATACATGAAGATTGGATCATTTTACATATTTGTTTTTTGTATTAACCTTTTAGCTTTTAAGAACTTCATTCTGGGCTTTTGTTTTTTTTTAATGACTTTGGGTCTTGATTTTGATCTCAAATTTATGTTATTAATGTTAATTTGGAACCTGACTTGCTACGGTATTCACATCATTATCAGTTTAAATATTTCAAATTAAAACTTTTTTTTGTAAACTTTTGCTATTTCTTTTTTTTTTCAGTTAATTAAGATTTACGTGTATTGAGTATTAAAAAAAGTCATAGTTTCAAATATTTGTATATGAATTAATTGATAGACTTCTAATTATGTTTGCAAAAGTTTTAGGGGGTGCGAAAATAACAAATTATAACTTTTTCATTAATAATTATATTATAATTATCAAAAAAATAAAAATGGAGAGGGGTGCCGCCGCACTGGCTGGCCACCCCCTGGCTCCGCTGTTGATAATGATCCTATATTTTTTTAATTTGGGACGCCAAGAATGTGTTATTTTTCTTATTGATCTCTTCCCCAAGAGACTTTTATATAATCTCTCTATTCCAAAATTATTGTTCAATTTTGGTTTTTACTTTTAGCTCGTTTTATATAAAAACTAAATTTAAACTGAATAATACTTTCGGGACAATGAGAGTATTTCTTTCGAACCGCCCTTAATAAATATTTCTAGTGTTTGGCATGGTAAGTTGGCTCTCCGCACAAGACTTTGTGTTAGTTGTGAAGACACTATTACGATTGTGGGGCAAGTTCTTCTATTCAAGCAAACTACTCCCTCTAATTGAATTTTGAAGGTACAAACTAAAATTAAATTTATGTTTTATAAATGGGGTTAGACAGTTAGAGGGAGTATCAATCTATGATAATTTCTAGTAATCTAGAATCTCTATAACTGTCGTAATTTCTAGTGGACTACAAGAAATGACTTGAATTCTAACATGAAACAAAAGGGATCGAACGATGCTTCCATTTCTAAAGTTCGAAACTTTAATTTATTAGCTGTTAGATAACTTTTTTCAAGCGCCTTAATAGCTCAAGTGTTCTATAAGAAGAATATATTTTTCAGGCGTTATTGGGTGTCCACAAAACCTTATATTCAGAGTCGTGACACAAACTGGTGGAGGAAGCTAGCTCTAGCTAGGCAGATATTTTTGGAGTTTATAACTTTACATCACTATTTGTCACGTGAGAACCGAGCTTATGCATGAATGCGAGCAAAGTCCGTATAGTAGTTTGATTGTGATCATCCAATTTTTTGCAGACACGAATTAAGATTGAAGTGCCAGAATCTGACAAACAATTCATTTCTAACCAACAACATTATTTTTTTCCTTTTTGTGCTTCACTACTTTATCACTTGGAAAGAAAGCCTGAGAACTGTGAACCATGCATGGAACAGTTAACTGCATATATTGAAAGAAAAGTTATATGCTTCATTCATCATGATCAGTTTGATCCTATAACTAAAAACAATATGTTGTTTTCTCCTCGTGAACCTTTACTTTTGTTCCAAATTGTTAAATGAAACGTAAAAAAAATAAATAAAATAAAATAAAAAAATATCGGTCTCCATCACGACAAGCCTTGCTTCTTCAAATCGTATATGGTTACAGTTGCCCGGCATGTGAACTTACTTAAGATCCGTACTTTTATTTTTTCATGGACTACGTTATTTCTTCTCTAACAGTCGAGAAAGTTGCATAATAAACATCGAATTAATTTACTAAGGTCATAACGTGAGATCGTTGTTAATTTTTAGAATATTGACAGTCGACACATCGAATAACACAGTGGTTGAGAATTTTTCTTCCTGCTAAATATATAATATCCAAAGAAATGTAAGTACAGTTAAAGATCTATTGTATTTTGTTCATTTTTATACTCTCCAGTTTTGGTTTTCGCTTTTAATTCAGTTTTTACTAAAATTAAAAATCTAAATTGGACAATAATTTTGGGATGAAGGGAATATTATATAAGGTTTTTTTTTTTTTTTGGTTACAAGGAATATTACATAAGTTGATTAGCCATCTGGTTGAATGAATTCATTTCTATAATTATGTCACTACTCTAATAGTATTGAATAAGCGTTATGGTCACATTCTTTCATTCTGGGTCCAGTCACTCAAAATGTGACATGAATTTGTGTCATCATCAATTCGTCTTGATCGAATTTGCCATGATTATTTGTCGAGAGTATCTTGAATATGTTAAAATATATCTGTGATCATACTCCTATACCTTGGTAAATAGCTTTGGACACGCATGTAAACTCAACAAAGAACCGGTTCACGTGTTTTTACACTAAAGCCAAAACAAAAAAGAAAAAGAAAAAGTTGGAACACGAAAACAACAAGAAAAAAAAATACCAAAAAAAGAGATGTTATCGTTTTAATTAATTTCCTCCAATATTTCTAATCCCCCTTCTTTAACAAATTGAATAAAACTCCTAATTAATGAACAATCCAGCGATCCCTAGAAACAAATCAAGAGGTAATTACAGTAGCGTGACAAGTGACATCCAAGCTTCCATGGTCCACAAACTGCACCTTTTTGCATGCAACATGGATTTAGGATCAAGGAAGCCAACCTTCATAAATAGCCATCCTGCCCTCCTTCAATCTCATCGTCATAATCTTGTTCCAATTTCTGTGTTCCACTCAAAAATATCAAAACAAAAAAAAAAATCAAACACTTTCTTCAGTCTACATTTTTCAGTCTTCAACATGGCACCTCATGGAGAAGCAATTGGAATGAATGGGAGCCCGTTCAATCCAGTCAAAAACTTCATGGTGATCAACAATAACAACATCATCAACAGCAAGCCTAGAAGGCTATCAAATGATGGACTCAAAAGAACGACTTCCGACATTTCATATGAGCTGAGCAACCTTAATCAACAAGAAGAAGAGGTAATCGCATCTCTCCCCGCGATCCCGGAAGTGGAAGATGCAAAGTGCGAATGCTGTGGTATGATCGAGGAATACACGCTTGAATACATCGGGAAAGTACGCGAAAAATACGGGGGGAGATGGATATGCGGGCTGTGCGCGGAAGCAGTGAAGGAAGAGACGGCGAAAAACGGAGGGAAAAGATCACCACAAGATGCACTGGAAGCCCACATGAATGCTTGTTTTAGGTTTAACAAGTTTGGTAGGGCTTATCCTGTTTTGTCGCAGGCTCAGGCGATGAGGGAGATTTTCAGGAAAAGTGTGAGTTTGGATTCAAGGGCTGGCCTAAGGGGAAATAAATCAGGTGGAATGCCAAAGAAAGGCCAAATTTCGAGGAGTTCGAGTTGCATTCCTGCAATCACTAGGGAGTTCAATGAGTTCAAATTAGACAGTAACTAAGTTTATGCATCCGAAAATATCTATAAATTAACGTATATGTATTTGTAATCCATTTAGATCAATCTTTCAGTGGGGATAGGCTTCCTTTTTTGGGTTGATTTTGATCATGTGGTTTAGTTCCATTTGTTGGATGTTGGAACGTTTTTCCACCCTTTTGGGGTAAAAATTTTTTCATGGTCAACAACTTTGTAGAGGTAGTCCCCCTTCTAAAAGTATTGCTCTGTAAGAATAACACTAAGATATTTTTTTTGGAATATATATGTAAATTATGCTAGTTAAGTAGCATAATTGAAGCCTTAAGACTGCAGCCTGGCCTACTGTCTTTAATTTATTGGTAGCAATTGGCTTAACCTTCTAATAAGCAGGATTAATTAGTTTCTGTGATCAAACTCAAAAGGATTTCTTTCCATATGGTAAAATCGCGATTCTCAACTTCAAATCTTTCTTTGCATATGATAAAAGTACTCTACCAAGAAAATGATCACAATCATAACAAGTTCTTTTTTTTTTTTTTTTGGAAATAAGCCACTATATTATATGGATTACACTCAAGTACATAAAGATAAACAGATCCTAGCATGCCTGTTAATATTTTTTACTACCTCTCTAGAAACTTTAATTAACTGAAAACCACCTAGTTGTCTAGTTACATCTCTAATGTCTTGCAAAAGATCACCTAAATGAACAGGCACTAGCATTCTATGATAATACATCTCTACTAAGCTAGAGCAGTCTGTCTGAAGTAGGCAATTGTGAAGTTGTCTCCTATGTGCTTCCTGTATACCTCTCAAACAAGCCAAAGCCTCTCACTGTAGAGCATTAAGAGCATGAAAACTCTCAGCGCCTGATGCAATCAAGCTACCATCACTATTAATGAGTTCCCAGGCTGTCGCGCCTTGGTTTTGGAATTCCTTGAATGTACCACCGTCTGTTCTGATAAATATACTGAACTGCTGGGCTGCAATCTTCCGACTGTTGCTGTTGTTGAAATCCTCCAGTAGTGTCTAGTAGCTTGAGGGTTGAAGCTTGTCGACATGAGCTTCCAAAATTCTGCCATTCCTTAGCTGCAAGCGCATTGATTCTCAAAGGAGGCAACTGCAAGTCTTGCCAAACAGATTCATTTCGGGATTTCCAAATCGACCAAAGGGAAAAAAACGTTTGTTGTATGGTTTCAACAGAAGGACCAGTCATAATCACATTTTCCAACCATGCATTGAAGGTACTGTAAGAACTTGCATTAACAATGGGGCCTAGAAAGAAATCAGACCAAACCTCCTTAGCAATATGACAATCAAGAAATATGTGCTGGATGTCTTCTTCATTTCTGCCACATCGTTTGCATACCACTTGTACCTCTATGCCACGTCGCTGCAAATTTTTAAAAGAAGGCAGTGCAGTATTTGCATCCCTCCATACAAACCATTGCATCTTTCCCGATAGCTTAAGAGACCAAAACTTCTTCCATGCTTCAGTCGACAATCCTGAAGGAAGTGGGGGAGAAGACGCATTCCCTGCTGCATAATAACCACTCTTCACTGAATATGCTCCGTCTGAAGTTGCTGCCCAAACTTTGACATCCGTCCTTTGAGCTTGTTTCGGTGAGAGATAAATTGATTCGATCTTGTGAATAGCTGGTTGGGGGAACAACACTTGTAGTAGAGGAGTCCGCCAAGCATAAACATGATCCCAGAGATCCCTCTTCTGAAAAAGAGGATTGCTTCTTATTGGGTTGTCCACCTCAGGAATCCACTCTTCCTGAATGCGAATGCTTTCCCCATTGCCTTCCTTCCACTTCAGACCTTTACACAGTAACTCTTTCCCATGCAAGATGCTACGCCAACCCCAAGAACACGAAGCCAAAAAATCCTTTCGTCTCGCATACTTTGCTTTCAAAACTCTTGCGAAAAGAGAATCCGGATTGGAGTGAACTTGATTAAGCTCCTTGGCTGACCTCATGCCCATTCCACCTTTGAACTTAGATTGACACATAAATTTCCAAGATTTCCAATAGAACCCTGTCCCAGCCTCATGACCTTTCCATATGAATCTCGCGATAACTGAATCTACATCTTTACAAACACTAATCGGGAGTTTAAACACACCCATTATATATATCGGTAGAGAAGATAGAACATGCTTTGCTAATGTAACTCTACCCATCATTGATAATGATCTATTTTTCCAAGAGCCCACCCTTTTGCTTCATTCTGTCTACATTACTGCCAAATAAAATGTTCTTCTTTTGCATAAAATCAAGAGAGAGCCCCAGATATTTACCTTTATACGAACAATTCCATATGTCATGCTGTGTGGAAATCCACTACTTCATCCCATTCTGCACATTTGGACTTGTCATAATTGCCGACTTATTATGGTTTACTCGCTGCCCAGAAGTGAGTGTATATTGGTGAAGGACTTCTTGAAACAGATGAATATTTGCGTGTGTGCATTCCAAGAGGACTAGGCAATCATCGGCGTACATTAAATGAGAGAGCTGAGGTACCGTCCTACCCATTTTGATGCCAAAATGATGCTGCATATCAAGACTTTCTAGCGCCATGCGAATGTCTGTTGACAAATGACAAATAAATATGGTGATAACGGGCAGCCCTGTCGCAAACCCCGCTTTGGCGAGAAAAAGTTCGATTTCCATCCATTGAAGGAAACTGAGTAGCTAACAGTTGAACCACAGCGCATGATGAGACTTATGATGAGCTCTGGAAACCCTAACCTATGTAAAATCAGATTCAGAAATTCCCACGACATTTGGTCATATGCCTTGTTCATATCAAGTTTGATGGCAACAAAGCCTTTTTGCCGTTGGTCCTTATTCTTGATGAATTCAATTGCACGCGGGATATATAAAACCGTTTTGGTTTTCAGAGATAATATTACCCAGCGCTTTTTTTATTCTATTTGTCAGCACCTTTGCCACAATTTTATACTTCACATTACATAAACTAATAGGTCTAAATTCCGAAGGTTGCGAAGGATTACCTATTTTGGGAATAAAGATCACTTGAGTGCGATTCCACTGATCATCCCAAGCTTGACCTCTTAGTATTTGAAGTATGCTGGAGACTAATGGTTTATTGAGGATATATCAATGAGTTTGGTAAAAACCAGCTGGAAGTCCAGCCGGAAATCATAACAAGTTCACTGCTTCACAAGTCCAGAACCCCTTTTCAAAAAAAAAAAAAAAAAGTCCAAAATCATAGTCATACTCATCCCAAGGTTAGCTTAGCCTAATGACTTCATTTTGAGTTGGCTTCCTGATCAACATTTCTCTCTTTCCTTAGCTCCATCCTTTTGTCGATCGCGCTTAGCTCTTCATTGATATAGCACTAGTTTTCCTACACCTGCTTAACTATAAATCTAGGGAGAGAAAGATAACAAATTCTGATCAGCAATAAGGAAAAAGAAAAAGGTGGAAAGATGAAAATATTCTGCTTGGTTGATGATATGGTAACTTTTTTATCAAACAAACAATATCAAGAACTAAAATTTAATAAAATAGTAATTAAATTCCCTCCAAACACTATATCAAATTATTTCACAAAGCTCCTATGTTGGTTCTCCCCCTTCCCCTCCAAAAATCAGTTATGAAGACGTGATCCGACACAAAGCACCAGAAATCCTCAAAGACAGTTCAGAAGCAGATCAAAATGAGAAAACTTATTCAGCTTGTAAAGCAATATTTCATGAAATTTCATCGCAAATTTGAAGTACTCGTACTAGTAGCTGGCTGAGGGGGGAAAAAAACAGCTCCAAAACTTGGTGAAAAAATAAAAAAATAAAAAGAAGAAAAAACCTTGATAGTCTGTTGATCATTTCCATGGATACTGGATAGAAGAAGAAATGAAGAATGATATCTAATTCAGTTTCTTCCTAGGTTTCTAATTTCTTTATTCAGTTCTCTCCCATCTTTTAAAATTGAACTACATTTTTCTGGATATATCTTTAATCGTGCATTACCTACTCTTGGGCCAAAATGAAAGTGCAACAATTAGTTAGTCCCATTTTCGCTCCCAGAAATGCTAGATGCACTAAAATTTCTTATACGGTTTAGCAGCAAATTATCACATGCATTTTATAGAGAAAAAGAGAACACATTCTTCAATGAATGAAATGGTAAGACAAGCAGAAGAAGCTGAACCAACAAAAGAACAAAAGTGAGGCGGCAATTTAAGGATGCAAGTTACAACATGGGCAAGTTCACAAGGCCGTCTTGCTTAGGGATGATCTCCAGTTTCCTACAGGCCAATCATCGTAGGTTTTTCTACTATCCTGATCGCAGTAGTAAAGAAAGTTACACAAATGACCAATTTAAGAACGTAAAGCAGATACAATGAGCTTGATCTTCTTCATTCATAACTTTCCAAGCTATTGCTCTCTCGAACGAAACAGGCCTCCCCATGCTTGATAAACATATCCCACCTTGAAGACAAGCAAAACCCTGTCGCAATCAACCCACCATTAATGTATTAGATAGATTTACTGAGAAATGCAGTGTCACTAGAAAGGTGAGAGGTAACGGTTCTAACACAGCCATTCTGCAATCCCTGTGTTACACAAAACATTTCTACCTATATATTGTATACATTAAGTCAACAAGCACCATCACCGACCTGTTGTATTATTTGCGGGAACTCAGCATACAGATTTTTCTTGCCATGATCATCGAATATCTTTTCCAAAGTTATGTCTTGAAGTGCAATGAAGGTTGTCTCGAGCATGTCCAGCCCTGCCTGATTTGCGAACGTGAAGACGGGCAATGCCTGCAAGAATCGTTTGCAAACAAATTAAAGCTTGAGGCATTGCAGACAGGAAGATAAAAAATTGCATCACATTCAAAAAGGTAAACCTTCAAAGAGCAGCACAAAACAGCATCTGAGTGATTCCACAAAGTTTTCAGGATGGATTCACTTCCCTCCCCAGCAAGTTTCAGAAGCTCCAAACCAAGATAACACCTGCAATGAAAATGAAAACAACCTCAGGCCACCATAAGATAACAAAGAATAAGGATGGTAAGAATGAGCACAATGCTAAAAGGCCAGAAAGTTAAGAGGACTTCTACCAACAAAATAGTACTTAGTACCCCTAATTAACTACGTGCGGTAGATACTTATATATGGTCCAGATTCTAGGTCAGAAATTGGATAGCCAAAATCAGGAAAGGAGTTTAAGAAGGTTCACCACTATCTTCTTACAAATTTTAGGTATCAAGAATACAATTCACCAGAATAGATTTTTAACCGGTTATAAACATTTTTTACTCACTTGTAACTTTGGCATATCCACCGAGCTAGCGTATGAGCTGCAGGAGTACCAAGTGGTGACTGAAGACTGCCATGAGGTCCCAGGTTTGATGGGGATAGTGCTAATGCCACCCTTTGAACCGAAGATATTACACTCCGAACATACTGCCTCGCCATAGATGCAACACTCTCTTGCATGTGACCCTCAAATGCAAATTGAAATGCAATTGTCATTACAGATCTGGTGGTGCCACTGTTACCAGCAATCTCATTTAAAGTTTTACTTCCCACTGTCCCAGTCTCCAGAGCAGAAGCAAGATCGAGGGTGCGGTTTGGACTTGAGGTTTCCTGCTTTGCATCAACCACAATTTGCAACCACATGAGAGACCGAAGTGAGGAGGATGGAAGAACAACTGAACAAGCAGCTATCACAAAAACCTGAAGCTTAAAATAAAAATTTTAACCTTGCTGGAGTCTAGGGGAATTATCCGAAAACCAGAAGGCAGGAGAGGAGCATCATCAGCAAATGAAGCATCAATAGGAGCAAATATCAGCTCTGCACAGGTGCCAACAGCATTTTCATCCATTCCACTGCAAAGCTGGCAGGGATGTGGGAGAGTGATAAGAAAATAGAAGAGGTAGAAAGAGAGTCTAGCAAATTAAAACTGATCAAATCCTCTAACTGAGCAAATACATCTCTGGGCAAAATACTGAATCTAAAATTTTCAGTGAGGAAAACTTACTTGCAAGAGAAACATATCTCTGGGCATCAATAAATCCTCGGGGGAATGGCTTATATTATCCAGCTTGATGACTTCCAGCATCTACTAGAAGCGAAAAAATCCGAAAGGAATAAGATAAACTTGAGAATTCATGCACATACATAAAAAGATATATTGATGCACTATCAAAGAAGTGCTTGCCTCTTCATGATCAGCAGAATGGGCCAAAGGAAGTATAATTTGACCCCCAAGATTACCCATGCGTGATCCCGGAACACCGCAGGGGCCAATTTTAAAGGTACTAGCTGCATAAGCATCAATACTATTGTCTGCCCATTCTGACCTATGTTCCCTTAAAAACCTAAGTAGTATTGCAGGAGGAACATTCTGAAACATTGAAAACAAAGACTATTAGAAACGACTTTTCATTTGGTAGGAAACTAAATGGCTATTAATTTGGTAAGAATTAATGAAGAGCAATAATTGTCACAAGAAAACATACAGTTATAACTTTCTACGAAACTAACTTACGAGCAAAAATCAGCAGAGCTAGAAAGTTCACACATTCTCTTAGATTTGAAGCTATCTACATTTACTTCGTCTAGGTTGCATCTAAACTAAAATGTAAGCACTTAAAAAGGAAAAATGTAACGAAACTGTTGATGAGATTACCTGCAAAAGCATAGATGCTTTGGCACATAAGACTGCGCTACATACAGGTGTAAACCCATTCATAAACGGAAGGCTCAGAGCCATCAGTTTGTCAGGCGACGAGTTTACAAGGACAGTAACATCATCCATACCATCATTTCCAATTAAAGACCATCCCTCATCAGTAAACCCATTCAGTGCTTCGTTGAAACCCCTGCAAGATAAGACTCATGATTCAAGTGTTCCAGAGTGGAGGAAATTTAAGAATATAAAAGAGAAACTTAAAAAACAGGGAGAGTTTACTACCTGCTCAATCTCTGGCTAAGTCCTCGAAGAGCTGCTGGTCGTCTTGCCCAGTTAGTTACATTAGGCTGTGAAACCTCTTGTGCTATCTGCCTTAGATGGCGTAAAGCCTCCATGAACAAAAGGAAAATAGAATAAGTAGTGAAGATCATAACTGGCAGTACCAGAAGCGTAAGATCAAATTATATTTCTTACTGCCATCGTCATTTTCTGCGCAAGGACAGCTGATGACTCATACAGGGGGCGCAACACTTCAGGAACACTCCACGCCTGGCTAAAAGACAAGATTTTAGCATCGGTACTGTGATACTAAAACTGAGAAATTATAGGTAAGTTCTGAGTAAATTGGGAACAAACAACTTTACCTCCAAATTGAGGTGATCAACAATATGGATGATTGATCCTCCACCTTCACAAGGTCTTATCAGGTAGCCACTAGGCAGCATTTCTGCTCTAACAAAATTATTCGTTTGTGGCATGCTTGGACCATTTTGAGTATTGCTAAGTGATCTTTCACAGACCTATGTGTCATGTCAGACAGCAATTTTAGTACCTTAAAGTAATACAATCAGAAAAAGGAAAGAAACTTATCTTAAAATACGCACCACTAGGCTACCATCGTCCATCATAGAGGTGTAGCGGATCAACCAAAAGTCACGAGCAGGAGCCAGCGTAGTTGGTGCATACAACTACAAAATATAAGCAGATTTACAAATCTACTAGAGAAAATCCTCAGGGATACAGCACAATTGACTAGTGAATGCATTTACCTGCATGTAAAGGAGTTCAATGGTTCCACCATTGGCAGTGGGCAGGACATTCACGACATCAACCGCCCGGCAATCACGGAACCACGAAGGTCGATCCTTAAGGATTTCTGCAACCTGGAAATACAGTCCTCATTAGTCGAACACATATATCCTGTTTGCCTCATGTTATAACAGAAAACAATCTTTTCACCCAAAAAAAAAAAAAAAAACTCAAACACTAGTCAAGAGTACCCTTGTAGGCTCAAGACCAACGAGGCCACATGCTCTTGCTGCAATGCCAGCGCAACCATGAGAAATAGCAACGATTCCAATGGAATCCGGACCAGGCTAGTCAAATTCAGCGCACAGAACAAACAATATTAGAACTCAAGTCTTAACATACAATCAACTCACAGAGAGGACTAATTAAGATTGGAGTTAAGGTAGAGACCTAAACAAGATATGCATTCTTATACATAGAATAGATTAAGTTGGAAAGTGTATCAGCTACCGCATTATCAAACGAATTTGAAAAATTGGGATTTGTTATGTCAATTTTCCATTGTCTAAGGTAGCTCAACTAGCAGAAACCATGCATTAACTGCATATAGAGAGAGCTAACACATTTCCCAAACAAATTTGAGAAATTGGGATTTGTTGCGTCAATTTCACATTGTCTAAGGTAGCTCAACTAGTAGAACCCATGCATTAACTGCATATACAGTGCATGTCATGCATAATTACAGTTAGGATACTAAGCTTAATTAAAATGTAGTGAAGCACCTTCATTCCAGGCATTTGGACCCACTCAACAGCAGTTCCAGTGGCCTTCGATAGAAACTCTGTTAAAGTCTCTTCTGCAATGGACAAAAGTCTGGGGAAAAACAAGAAAAAACCCAAAAAGCACAAAAAATTCTCTGAGCCAACCACATACCACACACAAGGCAAATGTAAAATGACCACACAAAGCACAATATTCCATCAAAGAAAACGACCCAACATCTATATTCCCACTTACCCCGCAGGACTAGCATCCCTTGGAGGACGCTGAGGTGTCAATTGATGTTGACCACTCGTCACCACCGATTCACAACTAGTGTCTTTAGTCGCCAGCGGCTTCTGCCATTAGCAAAAAGAAGAAGTAGAAAAGGCCAACCTCAATTCACCAAATTACTCATGATTGAACAGATAATTAAGAGATTTGCAGAGGGTTTAAAAATTTTTATGAAACAAGAGGGAATTCACCACACACCCGGGGATGAGTCTGACGAAAGTAGCCATTTTCATACACAAGGTGAGTCACTTGCTTCTGCAATCTATCATTTTCTTCCATGAGGAGCTTGTTCATAGCCGTAAGCTTCCTATTGACTGTCTGAAGCCGTGAAGCCTCTTTCCTCTGTTTCTCCCTGCATCTGCATTTCCGCAAAAGATACAGTTCAATAAGTTCTCCACCTGATCACCTAAACTTTATCAGCTGAATAATCTTCAACATCCAACCATTTAATGACAAAGTCCAGTTAAGCAATTCCCACCAACCTCGAATCAGCAACTCCAGTAAAAAAAAGAAACTAAACATTACAATTCTAATACCTGGATAATACTTGACTTGGGACAAAATTACAAAAAGAAACTTAGACAGAAAGAACATGTCAGTGGGCTAGCTTCGGAAATATTCATGATGCATGCCCCCTTCCATGAAACAAGGCTTTCCATTTTGCAGAAAGATATGTCTGTAAATGCTTAACCATCAAATAATCCACGAGAATGCGAGGAAACATGGTGGGGTCAAACAGGTCATACCTTCGATTCTGAAACCAAACTTTGATCTGCTTAGGCTCAATGTTTGACAGAATCGGACATTCCCGGATGAGCTGCTGCCGGCGAACTGAACTGGGCTTAGGACAATCATGATAAAGCCTCTCCAATGCTTCAACTTGCTCTGGAGTATACCTTACATATTTTCCATTATCCATAACTCCTTTGCTACCATTGTGACTACTACTATCTTTGCTAGTCGCCATCATCATAGGTCCCCTTCCAAACTCACTCCTTGATATACTTCAATTCTCGTAATCCACAAACCCCCCAAAAAAATACCTTCTTTCCCTAAATTAAAGTTCCCATCTTTTTCACTTTCAAGAGGAACAGAATGTTTTCCTTTCCTTTTTCCTCAACCTTGAGAGGTGGGTTTTTGTTTCTTTTCGGGAAATATACTAAAAAGATAGATGACGAAATCCGAGAACTTTGATTATACAAAAAACGGACAAGGGGGTTGCTGAACTGTAACGGCGTTATCCACGACACCAAACACAAGAAAACAAAAGAATGAAACTCGCAAAACACAAACTTTCTTGTTCTTTGCTTCCTTAAAAGTTAAAAAAAAAAAAAAAAAAACAATAACAGCCGTTACAAAATACTTGGCAGGATGATGATGATGATGCCAACCAATTAAACTTGTCCTTCCTTCACTGGCGGAGGAGGGTAATTATTCCTAGAAAAAAATTAAGACAGAGAAAGAGAACTCAATCAAAAGTTGATGATGGAGGCTTTTTCCTGTGAACCCAAATCGAGCTGATAACAGAAATCACAAAACCACCAAACCCGATCTTCATATTTTCTCAATACATATGAGGGGAAATATGGAAGAATATGGATCTGGGTCGAATTCAGAGAGGGGATTTTGAGGTGGTGTTTTCCATATGATTCCTCACTTTTGGTCGAAAAAAATGAAAAAGAATACGAAATATACTGTTCATTGTCCTTTCAGGCTCACTATATATGTACTGACGATGAGCGGACTGAAGCCTACAATTTTGAGCGAAATATGTGTTAGGACTTTCTTGCCCTTTTCGCGCCTTTGCAAAATTCCATCATATAATCAATTTTTTTTTTTTTTTTGCTACAAACAAATAATTAATTATTAATTCATCATAACTTTTTTTAGGTAAAATGTAAATATATTGCTCATCACCAAAACTCATCACTTCTGTACAAACCTACATACAACCATACTGTCCTCTACTGCTAAACCTCGACATTCAAAACTAAAACACAAACAGTACCTATTTTACTATTACAAAAATTTTTGATCCTGCAAAAACCTTCTTTCAACTGCTCTCTTTACTTTGCCATACATACTGACTCTCCAGCCCACTTACTTCTTGATCTCCATAAACATCTGATCCACAGTTCACTGCACAGTGTCATGTATTTTCTGGTTCCTAACCTGCCAGAGCATGTAGTATCCCGCCATTATAAATGCAAAAAGTACTCCCTGCTTCACTCTGTTGCCCTTCCATATATTATGAAGCCTTTTCCAGTATTTCAGCTGCACCCATTTTTCTGGAAACTCCAGCCAGCTACTCAACAGTCGCCACAACTCTTCTGTCATCCCACATTTCAGAAAAAGATGATCAATACTCTCCCTGGCGGAATTGCACACAGGACATGTTACATATGCAATATTCATTCCCAGATGCAGCAACCTATCTCGAGTAAGTAATCTTCCCTGCCAGCTTAACCAGGCTACAAAGCAGTGTTTTGGCACATTTAATTGGTTCCAAATTACACAGGCTTCTTTACATTTCATATTTCCTTCCCGAAGCCATCTGTAACATGAAGATACTGTATTTTCACTCTGTTGGCCCATCCATCTGTTAAGTTTAAAGCCATCTCTGAGTCTCTCTTGTGTCATAATAAGCTTCTTCCAATGCCAACTTGACTCATTGATAACCTCTACATCCCATATGCCTTTTCTTTTTAGATAAATACCATGAATCCAACGAATCCATAAGTTATCTTTCCCCTGCGACAACTCCCAAATTTGTTTCCCAACAGCAACTATGTTCCACACCCCAATGTCTCGAATACCCAGCCCCCCTTCTTTCTTTGCTAAGCAAACTTTCTGCCAGAAAACCAAAGGAAAGGATCAACCTGATTTCTTAGCTCCCCACAGAAAATCTCTACACAATCTCTCTACCTGGGTCACAACACTTTCCGGAAACAAATATTCAGCAGCCCAGTATGTATGCATACGTAACAACACAAAATTTATGAATTGAACCCTACCAACATATGAGAGATGCCGGGACGACCAATTTTTAATTCTAACAGCAATCTTATCTACTAGGGCCTGGCAATCAGCCTGTGACCGCATTCCCGGAGATAATGAAAACCCTAAATATTTTATCGGAAAGCTCCCTCTGCTAAATCCCACAATATTTTCAATTCTTTCCCTCTGCTTCTCTAATACACCACCTACATAAATTTGGGATTTCACCCGATTTGTATACACGCCAGTGGTCATCCCGAATTCCTTCAACTTCTCCATGACTGTGTTTAACAGTTTGTTCCTCAGCTTTGCAGATTATTATTAAGTCGTCAGCAAAGCAAAGGTTCACAATCTGCAAATCCTCACAGCTTGGGTGAAATTGAATGGTTCCCTTACTAATTTTCACCTTGAACAATCGAGTTAAGTATTCCATCACTATTACAAAAAGTAAAGAAGATATAGGATCTCCTTATCTCAATCCCTGTTTTCCTTAAAAAAAAAAACCCCACTAAATTCCCATTGAGGTTTAACGAAAAGGAGCATGTAGTAACACACTGCATAATCCAGTCAGTAAACCTCGCAGAAAACCATAACCCACCAAAGCTTCATACAAAAAACCCTAGTTTACATTATCATAAGCTTTTCTTAGATCTACTTTAAGTAAAAATCTAGGGGATACAGTTTTTCTTCTATATAATCGTACTAATTCCCGAGTAAGTAGTACATTATGCATGAAAGATCGACCTTTAACAAATGCACCTTGATTCAAACTAATCAATTCAGGCAGGATTTTATTCAATCTATCACTTAAGATTTTAGTAATGCATTAGTAAAAGGTATTACAACAAGAAATGGGTCTGAATTCACTAGCATCCCTTGGTGATATACACTTCGAGATGAGTGAAATCATTATACTATTTACCTGGGTAAAAAGACACTTCCCAGCTCCAAATTCTTGTACTGCTGCGACAACATCTTCTCCTACAGTTTCCCAGCCTCCTCGAAAAAAACTGCTCCCATAGCCATCCGGTGCCGGGCTTTTACTATGATGGATTCCAAATATAGCGTTTTTTTTTTCCTCCTAGTAAAATCTCGGCACAACATTATCTGATCCTCCAATGCTACTTTGGAACCTTGCTGAAACACAGACTACCTGGACTCTACTCTTTTAGTCTCCACCCCCAGCAGCATCTGAAAATATTCTACAAAATGTTGTTCAACCAGCCTCCACTCTTCTACTATTTCTCCCCGCTCTGTACAGTAAGAGATGATTCTGTTACGAGCCTTTTTCTCCTTGATTACAGCATGAAAGGAACTTGTGTTTGCATCTCCAAGTTAGCACCATAACGCCTTAGACCTTTGTTCTCGAAAACTAAGGACATCCTTGCTTATCACCACATATTCTTCCCGGCATTTCCTCTCTGCCTCCTATAATAATACATCATTCGAGTTCATATGCAACTCCTTTTGTACTTGCTCCAACTCCAGTTGTTTATTACAATATCTTCCTTCTATATCACTAAATTTGGTCCTGTTGATCTCTTTTAGGACAGGCTTCAACAATTTCAGCTTAGTGATCAACTAAAATTGTTTGGTGACTTTGATTTCAGTAATCCAAATCCTTTTAACAGTATCCTGAAACATGCCATCTTGTATCCACATGTTATAAAATTTAAACGGCCTTCTTCCTTCCACAGTTCTAAGACTCCATTTCAGTACCACTGGACAGTGGTCTGAAATACTTTCTTGCAACATTGTGACATAAGCCTCAGGATGTTTGTCTGTCCATTCATCAGAAACAAAGACTCTATCCAATTTACAACAAAACGATGTCCTCTTGCTTGTCGATTTGACCACGTGAAGAAATTACCTTGTGATCGAATTTCATGCAGGTGACATGTATCAATCATACTACAAAAGTTTTCCATTTCTTGAGTTCTGAACGTAAACCTCCACTCTTCTCTCCTTCCTCCATTATGCAATTATAGTCTCCCCCTATGATCCATGGCATTGCTACATTGGATTTGCATTAGGTCCATCCATAGTTCTAATCTGCCACTCTGACTGTTTTTTGCATAGATCACAGTCAACAGGTAATTCTGCCCCATATTATCTACCACACTACAATGTATAAATTTCTCCTTAATTAACAGTACATCTACCTTATACTCCTCTTTTTTCCACACAATAAGAATCCTCCCTTTTTGTTGTATTGTTGCATTCTCCACATATTCATAATTCTTTCACCTTTTAGTCATCAATTCTTTACTCTTTTCAACTGATAGTTTCGTTTCCAATATCACTGCTATCCCAATTTTCTGTACTCGCATAATATTGGCCACCTCTTGATGTTTCAGAGAGTTCTTAAACCCTCTGACATTCCACAGTAAGATATTATTCATCAGAGGGAAAGACCATGATCCAGGGGATCCTTTGTTCCACCACTAATTGCTTCCTTCTGTCGGCTTACTGTTTTAGGTCTCATGTCCACATTGGCTCTTCGATTCATGTTGCTTGCTACATCATTCCTTAACAGAAGATTTAGTTTATCAACTGCCCCTCCCTTTTATTCTGCTGGTTTTTTGTTTCCCTTTCCCCTTCACTGATTGCTATTCCTGATTGTCTCTGATCAGGTTTTGTTTCTTCTTGCTTATTCTCATATTCTTTCTCTTCAACTGATTTGTTCTTTATTACATTTACTATTTGTTCTTTTTGACTGGTTGCTTAGGGATCTTCTGTTTCCATACAGGTGTCAGTGGTACTTTACACTCCTGTTTAGCATGGCCATAGCCTTTGCACTGAGTGCACAATAATGGTTTCCACTCATATACCAGCTTCTGCTCTCGTAAACGCCCATTTTCATCAACAAACATGATTTTATCAAGAAGATTCTCCTTGATTTCCATTTCTACCATAACCCTCACAAACCCAGGCCTCAACTTGTTTCTAGTCATATCATCTATTTTCTTA